TGTTCTGCCTCCTCACACACCCTGCGGTGAGGAAATGTCACCTAGTTGCCAATACATGCTATCAAGGCCACCAAGTTACCTGTTCAGCGCACATAGTCGCTTTGTCATTTGCCGAGGTTTCTAAATTATTTGTCACATCTCCTCATCCCCCAAAAGTGCTTAGATTGGACACCTCCCACCGCCCGCATCACATTGAATACAGGTGAGCTGGCTAGCACGGTACTGGCACAACTGCTCCTCCACTGCCCCATTGCTCCACTGCTTCATCACATTTTGGCACCACTGCTCCTTCCCCACGTGCCATCGTAGGATAATTTCCCCACGTTATCTCCTGAACTGGGTTAAACTGGCTGAAACCGACTAGCTTGGGAATCGCGTTTGAGTTCGTGTTCGATATATTGACGAACCATTCCAGCAACTGGATTATCGTTGGGTTCGATGCCAACTTAGGGTAAAATAGCAAAATGGCGACATTAACGGGACCATATTCAGACACTTGTCAAACATGTGAGGCATTTTGCGAAAACATGTAATTAATTAGCGACAAACACGTCGTCCCGTTGCTGAATATGTTCCACGCAGGTTTAAGAGGACATGGTTGGCAAACACAAAGGAGTTTATGATGCGCGGAACACGCTGCGCCAAGTAGACGCCAAACTCGAAGCCACCCATGTGTAGACTATATATGGGGAAAAATGCAATAAAGAGCTGAAAAAGAACGATTGTTTACATTATTCATGCGAAAGAGGCAAAGAAAAGGCCTGATCTATGAACGAGGTAGCTTCCGCCTACATCTGATGCGTACAGCGACTCACGCCCACCGTATAGGTCTGAGACTGAACCACTCATACTCGGCGTTAGCCAATGACACCGTCACCCTTCCTGCACCTCCCGTGGCAGCCGGTGACACCGTCGCTACCTGCACCTATGGGCGCCATATGACCAACGTAGTCGGTGCGCCCGAAAGCCCAAATCATCATTATCATCATCCTCCTGCACCTCCCGTGACAGACGGTGACGCCGTCACCCCTCCCGCACCTCCCGCGGCAGCCGGTGACACCGTCACCCCTCCTGCACCTCCCGCAGCGGCCATCACGCCGGCCGGCGCGCGGGAAAATCATGGCTGCCGCGGCGGCGACCGACGCGCCCAGTCACGCCGCGGCCCGCGCGCTGAACAGCCTACCGACACAGCGCGAGCGCCGGCCGTGAACAGCCTACTGACGCAGCGCGAGCGCCGGCCGTGCTCGTCATGCGGCCCGCTCTGCCAGCCCGGTCAGCTTGGTCATTGAGGGGCCATGGAGTCTGGAGCGAGGCCTACAGACCCTCGGGCTGGCGGCTGGCGGCTGGCCCAAGTCATTTTTTACCATGCCGTTCTTCTTTGGTTGTATTATGTATGTCGCATCTCATTTTTCACGGAACAAAGGCGTATAATCCAAGTAAAATTTCTCGAATGAAGTCATTTTTAATTTTTTTCAGGTTTAGAAAAAAATTGGTTAGGACGGCTGCTTGCCTCCAGTATAACCGACTTCAAATTGGTTTGGTAATAACGTGACCCCGGGCCGAGTTACGCCTGCGGCTAAGCGGGTGTACGCGATGGCTTAGCTGCCGAAGAAGCGCGACGGCGAACCGCACGACTGATGAGAGGAGCATGGACCATGAGAGGAGCATTCCAAAGTACCACCGCTTTGGTTGCCGTACTCCACTCTGTGTCAGGTATTGCAACGTCATGACGTAGCTGCCCATCGATATCAAATGGACATGCGCTTAGATGGACCAGACAGAAATAAAAAACCTACATGCGTTACGATCGGCTGATAGTCACAAATCAGCAGCATCAAAACCGGGGGGAGAGAAACAACAAAAAATTGAGTTCTTGGAAATGAGCATGGGTCGGAATACTAGGGTCGGAATACACGATAACGTTTCTTCATTCCATTGCTTCAAGCTTCAAACCCGACCGCAAGACTCATACCCGCATCACAGCAATGACGTGTCGCGTCGCGCCTTGACCTGGTAGGTCAGGGGCCTTGACCTGGCCGTATCCCAGAGGTTAGGGTCGCTGCCCTGGCCGCGCGCCCCGGAGTCAGCGTTGTTGACCTGGTCGTGCGTCCCGGAGGTCAGGCGTTGTGACCTGGTCGTACGCCCCCGAAGGTCAGGGTTGTTGACCTGGTAGTACGCCCCCGGAGGTCAGGGTTGTGACCTGGTCGCACGCCCCCGGAGGTCAGCGTTGTTGACCTGGTCGTGCGCCCCCGGAGGTCAGCGCTATTGACCTGGTCGTGCGCCCCCGGAGGTCAGGGTTGTTGACCTGGCCGTACGCCCCCGGAGGTCAGCGTTGTTGACCTGGTCGTGCGCCCCCGGAGGTCAGCGTTGTTGACTGGTCGCACGCCCCCGGAGGTCAGGGTTGTTGACTGGTCGTACGGCCCCGGAGGTCAGGGTTGTTGACCTGGCCGTGCGCCCTCGCAGGTCAGAGTTGTTGACCTGGTCGTACGCCCTCTCGCAGGTCAGGGTCGGGTTAACCAGCTGGGCGGCGTCTTCATCAACGGCCGGCGCTGCCGAACACATCCGGATGAAGATCGTAGAGATGGCGGCGGGCGGGGGTGCGGCCGTGCGTCATCTCCCGCCAGCTGCGCGTCTCGCACGGATGCGTCTCCAAGATACTCAACAGATACCAGGTCAGAGCCGCGCCGACGACTGACGTACACAGCGGATAGCGAGTCAGAACTACTCTCGCTTTGCTGTACGTAACGGACGCCGGGTCATAACCTGGCGAGCTAGCGGGTATCGACGGGTGCCAGACACTCGGATAGGTCAGCCTGAGTGGGTCGTCGTCGCCCTGGTCTGTCAGGTGCGTGACGGAGCTCAACTCCATGGGTCATCTTCCAAGTCAGCACCGGTTCAGGCCTCTGGAAGCACAGAGAATGGTCGTTTACTGCCCCGCACGTTCGCGACTGCTCATCGCGTGTGCCCTGTTTGGCAGCGGGCGCATCATCTCGTGCAGTCCCATTCTGACCGGCCATCATCTCGTGCAGTAGTCTGACCGGCATCATCTCGTGTGGTCCGTCTGACCGGCGGTGGCCGTGTGGTCTCGTCTGACCGGCGCTGGCGGCCGTGTGGTCCCGTCTGACGGCGCCGGCGGTCGTGTGGTCGTCTGACCGGCGTGGCGGTCGTGTGGTCCCGTCTGACCGGCGCTGGCGGCCGTGTGGTCCCGTCTGACCGGCGCCCCGTCTGACAGGCGCTGGCTGCCGTGTGGTCCCGTCTGACCGGCACTGGTGGCCGTGTGGTCCCGTCTGACCGGTGCCGGCGGCCGTGTGGTCCCGTCTAACGGTGCCAGCGGCCGTGTGGTCCCGTCTGACCGGGCTGGCGGCCGTGTGGTCCCGTCTGAACCGGCGCTGGCGGCCGTGTGGTCCCGTCTGACCGGCGCCCCGTCTGACAGGCGCTGGCGGCCGTGTGGTCCCGTCTGACCGGCACTGGCGGCCGTGTGGTCCCGTCTGACCGGCGCTGGCGGCCGTGTGGTCCCGTCTGACCCGCTGGCGGCCGTGTGGTCCCGTCTGACCGGCGCTGGTGGCCGTGTGGTCCGTCTGACCGGCGCTGGCGGCCGTGTGGTCTGTCTGACCGGCGCTGGTGGCCGTGTGGTCCGTCTGACCGGCGCCGGTGGCCGTGTGGTCTCGTCTGACGGCGCGGTGGCCGTGTGGTCCCGTCTGACCGGCGCCGGTGGCCGTGTGGTCCCGTCTGACCGGCGCCGGTGGCCGTGTGGTCCCGTCTGACCGGCGCCGGTGGCCGTGTGGTCCCGTCTGACCGGCGCCGGTGGCCGTGTGGTCCCGTCTGACCGGCGTGGTGGCCGTGTGGCCGTCTGACCGGGCGCGGCCGTGTGGTCCCGTCTGAGGCGCTGGGGCCGTGTGGTCCCGTCTGACCGGCGCTGGTGGCCGTGTGGTCTCGTCTGACCGGCGCGGTGGCCGTGTGGTCCGTCTGACCGGCGCGGGTGGCCGTGTGGTCCCGTCTGACCGGCGCTGGCGGCCGTGTGGTCCCGTCTGACCGGCGCCGGTGGCCGTGTGGTCCCGTCTGACCGGCGTGACGTCGCGCGCAGGAGACAGGCAGCATAAGGCCGGGCGTGATCGCGGCTCCAGCCACGCGTCACCACTCTCCCGAGGTGAGAACAAGAGATCGCCGACTACAAGAAGGAGAACCCGGCGTCTTCAGCTGGGAGATCAGGGGACAGGTGAGCGCGCCAGGTGGTTGTGGCTTCTCGACGCACGTGCGTACAGTGCTGCGTCCAGCAGCGATACGCCTGCCACTTAGATGGAGTCTGAGAGGCCGGAGACGCATTTGGCGTCACTTAACCACCACTTGTTGTTGAAGCTCTTCGTGGATGGGATCAATCGTTGGATGGGGTTAATGCATGATTGAACCGTACACAACATACAACAAAAGTAAGTTAAAACGTTGATCACAAAACAGATACATCAAAGAACGGCATTTACTTCTTCCAAAAACAAGTATTTCCCTCCCCTTTAGGCACCATAACAACATGCCAGGTGATACCAGGAGGTTCATGCCTCATTCTACCAGGAGGTACCCTGAAGCATGGCGGAAATGCAATACGACACGAATACATTTAAATCTAACATATTGTTTGAGCGTTTACACCTGACTGATTACGCACCTCTTGGCACGTTGAAGGTCGGTCGGCTCTTAGCGCGGCCGCAGCCGGGCGAGTTTCAACGGCTGACCGGAGATTGGGCTCGGTCCGACCGGTCACGCTTCCGCCGCGCTTGTTATGTCTTTACAAAAGCCATGGACCGAGCCGGCGCGCGGTTCGCAGCGGCAAACAGCAGAATTCTTGTAGCTGGTGCAGGTGAGATTTTCCAGGCATGCATGCACGCTGTTTGATCAGGCGAGCTCTTTTTGCAACATTGCAATATTACCAGTTTCCCTCCACCTCGCGACCGACGCTTGAGAACGGTAAAATATTTCCACACTGACAAAAAACTGAAGTAAAAAGGGTCAAACTACGTTCAGATTTCGACCACCAGCTGTTGATGTTGGAGTAGCATGATGCCAAACGCGTTTTGACTGGGGAAAGGGCAATATCCCTTGGACTGAAGTGAGAATGACCTGTAATGACCCTGGCCACCCGCTGTCGAGGCCAAACCATGGCATGGGTCTGCACGGTTTTGTGTGTCTTTTGTGGAACTGAAGGCAGATCTCGACAACAAAAGAAGTGAAAGAATCGTGACACCAACTGCACTGTAGACGCGAGAGCACATACAGTCTATATCTTACCTGGCAATTTAACAATATCCGACTCATAAGTGCGTAAGTATCAGACCAGCAAGCGCCCAAAGTTAGATATATTATATATCTGATTAATATAATATATAGCATGTACATACACAAACAAGCTATGCAATATTTATTAATCCATGTATAAAATTGTTGTGCCCGAGCCGATGACAAACACAGTAATTGTTCGGTCTAAATCGAGAAAGATACTACGTGAAAATTGAATTGGTTCAAATCTAGTTCGTTGCAGGCCAATGTCTGTGCCGTGCATTTCCAGTGTCGCATTAATTTTGTCAAGTCACCGAAAATTCAGACCATTCAATTTATAAAACCGATCTAACTTGGTCGGGGCATTACCAACACCAAAAACTAGCTGTAATTTGTGCACGAATGCCATCAGTGCACTCAATCGGCTAAAGCCATAAAAGAGTTCGTTGAGTGACTCGTCTGTAAACCGAAAACGGTAATGGGCTTCATTTGCCTGACGTTTTGGCATCCTCTACAAGGTGAGGATACCCGCGTTAGTCACGACTTCTCATTCGCTGACGCTCTAGGTATCCTCCTCTACGCGGTGATAATACTCACGCCCGTCTCCACCCTCTCACGCCCCCACGCCGCAGACATGGTGTTCTTTCGTCTCATCAGTGCTGAGGCCTAGCGGCATGTACAAACTTAAGCCTTTCTTAATCAGGGTGGTGAATCTTATTTATCCTCAATAGACCTGGCCTGTTTGCAGTTTGCTCGCCGTGTTGGTCCAGATAGGCCGGTCCTGTCCGGTGCTGGGCTAGCGGTGGTTGGGTACGAGCGACGCCTACGTCTCCAGCTGCGCTTTGTCGCTTCACTTCCCACGTGTGGCGGCGAAAGTAAATAAATAAATATGTAGATATATATATACAGATATATAATTATATATATATATATATATATATATCTAATGTATATATATCTGCCGCATCTTTCCTTTTGGTTTTCGCTGTCATATACTGACCTACGTGTTTCCAACAGCGATATTTGAGCTTGCGTCATTGTGAAATCATCCAGCACAATACCCTATGTTAAAAGGAGTGGTTCCAAACTCGCATGGGGGTTGAACTGAAAAAAGCCACATTGAAGAGCATTGGGTGCAACTAACAAAAAAACCATCTCCGTCCTCAAGACCCAACCCTGGGGCTTCTGAGCTACACAACCCGTGAATATGTGCAGACTTTTAGGGGAAACCATTTCAAAGTTGCCTAGGCATTCATGACGCCATTACAACGCCATTGACATGCTGTTATTCCATTGACCATGCGGCGATCAAGGCTAAAAAACATACTTGTCCATATGTTCAAATCTGGCGTTTCGTGGCGCAAGTTTCCCAGGCATAACAGCCGGCAATTGACTCTCAATCGATGTTGTGCAAGTTACGATGCGAAATCCAACAACAACGTATTCAGAAGCATGCTTACTAGACAAAGAAACTGTGTTGGCCTAGTACAGCATTTTCCCGCCCGCAAATATACCAATATCTATAAGTCAGTTTGTTTCACCATATCCGATGCTTGCTTCACTATCTTCAAATGTGGGACATTTCCTTTAATGCGACGTCCCGGAGCTTGGTAACCATTTCAAATCTCAGTTGGACACGTGCCAGTCTGCTTGCGTGTTGGGGTATTTCCAGCGCGTTCGGACACTGACACAAAAAAAACTAGCAAAAAAAAGTTCGGGACACTACGCATTGTGCAATTGCACACCATGATAAAGGCGTCCTCAGGTATTGAGGTGAGGTGCCACATGAGCTTATCATCTTCTTTATCGTCGAGCTGCAGAAGGTTGTGGACATGCAGGCAACCAAACTGCAAGACAATCAAGCACGACGAATTAATTGCGGTTATTGTTGCGTCGTTCAGGCTCGAGCTGTCAGCATCACTGAAATATTACGCAAAGGCAGTCCCTCCGCTGCCTTCAGCAGATGGGCTCCCAGCCGGCGCCCGAGCGTGGTTCTGAGCTGCCTTTGTACAGCGCGCCGGCTCTGTCGCAGCTGACGGAGCGCGCCGGCGGAGGCCTCATCTGCAGCGTCTCATTCATGCCGTCGCACGGCCGTTCACACGTGTCACGTGACAGCGCCTGCGGGCGGCGGCGAGTGGCACGTGACCGGGCCGTCTAGGACGTTCGCGCTTTGGTGCGCTGAGGGCTCCTCCGCCGCGGGGATGCTGCGCGGCGCCAGCTGACGGCCGCAGTTCGGATGATCGGTGCGGCGCGGCGGGATAAATGTTCACCGGAACAAATGGCCGTATGCACGGCAACAATGGCAAACAGCGGAAGGGCGAGTAGCTGAATTCGTCGCGGAATGGCGAAACCGCAAAAACTATGACAGGATAAAAAAAGACGTCGTGCGAAATGACGAACGCTAATGGTAGCCGGCAAATGGTGTCGTGCAATGCGACACCGAGTTGGATTATATCTTTCCATAGCCATATACATTCACTTGGAGGCTCAGTAAAGTATGCCTCGTTTGCAAGAATGGCGACTGACGGCAGGAGTGCATAATCAATTCGGAATTCTACGTGCTACATGCTTTATTATTTAGTTGTTCGCTTGGTTGTTTTGAGAAGAGCTCTTTCGAACAGAAATGATCGTTTCAGGACTGTGAGATGACGGAGCATGGATAGCGGTGGGGTAGAGCTACCATGCGCCTGGGGGGGCCAACCGCCGAGCTTCAGTCCGCGGAGCGACCCCTCGGGGTGTGCGCTGGGCGCCCGGTTGGGGTCGCCCATCCTAGGGGGCCTCTCGACCCGCCCGTGGCTGACTCACACAGCCTGCCCCAGATTAGCGGGCGTCGCGAGGATTACACATAAGGCAAGAAAGGAGAATGTACTTTTATACAAAACACGCTTAACTTTGCAAAGGTCACAGACGAAGAGCAATAGTGTAACGCCTTTGCGAGTGTGTGTGGCTATGCAGCGTTTTAGTTGGGAACGATTTTTCGTCCCGGCATATTTTCAGAGCTTCTGTGAATTTAACTGCAACTTTCCTTCTCCGTTATTGCAGATTGGTAAAGGAAGGTCTGTGCGACAAGACGACCGCGCCCTCCGTGAGCGCCATCTCCCGGCTGCTGCGCGGCCGCGACGACGACGAACCCGTCAAGAAGAAAGAGGAGGAGGAGCTCTGTGAGTCCATCACGCCCGCACATTTCCACCAGAGCATTTCTCCTGTCGCACGGTATATGTTGGCGTTTTGACATGCCAATCACAATAAACACAAATGTGAACCAATGCAAGCGTGTAAGTACGTTGATTGAAGCCATCATTCCTAAAAACTGCGATGAGCGCCTACAATACGTCGCTTTTTGTTGCTGCTGTGCCGCTGACGTGGCACAAATATGCCCTAATTTGTGCACCTATGTGATGGTGCGTGTTGGTTATGGCCGATATAGCCTCATGACTCAAAACTGAACTACAAGTTGACAGAGTGTGACAACATCGCTATGCCCATGCATGCAAAACAAGGTTTACCGGGATATTGACGACATGAATGTAGATGACTTCGTAACTGGGAAGAGTGAAATTTGGGGTGCAACGCCAAGCGCCCAAAATAAGATGTGAGTGAATAAAGTCTCAACCTGTCTCTAACTACATGCTTTCAGTCTGTTGTACCCCTTGGAGTTGACAAAGGAGGGACGTAAAGTTCTGTGTCCTGCTCTAACATAAAAATGCTGCTTTTGGCAGATGGCTCGTATCTATTCACTCACCATCGGTATAACTTTGATTTCACTAGTTATTTATGCAGTGCACAACATTTCGTTACCTTTCCGAGATAACTCGAGATCCCGGAACTCCGCCTTTAAAATCCGGGATCCCGACACCGCGGATGAGTACCTAACGACCACCACCTCGTCCGCTTGCAGCCAAATCTGACGGCGTCTCTGACGAGGACGAGGAGACGGAGCCGGGGCTGGCGCTGAAGCGGAAACAGCGACGCTCGCGCACCACCTTCACTGCCTACCAGCTGGACGAGCTGGAGAAGGCGTTCGAGCGCACCCAGTACCCGGACATATACACCCGCGAGGAGCTGGCGCAACGCACCAAGCTCACTGAGGCGCGCATACAGGTGAGCGCGGTGGGGTGGCAGGGCGCAGAAGGGGGGGGGGGGGGGGGAGGAGGAGGGCTGGCAGGTGACGGCGGACATACAGGTGAGCGCGGCGGGTTGGCGCAGGCGCAGGAGACAGACGGGGACTGGCTGGTGAAGGCCGGGGCTCGGATGCGCCACCGACGTTTGCTGCGAGATGTTCGCTGGGACAATTCAACCTGGTGCTCGTGACTGGACAGGTCAGGTCATCTCAGGACAGCCATTTGCCACGGCGTGCCTGCCCCACGTCTACACAGTTCTTTTGTCTGTACCTACGTTTCTTTCAGCTGCCTTAAAACCCGGTGCGATACCGGGTCGGAGGTGCGATATGATCAGCGCTCCGTATGGTGACGTTTGCTGCCTCTTTGCCATGTGTGGTTCAGTAACCGTCGCGCGCCGCTGAAAACCCTGCCTGGTCGGAGGTGCGATATGACCAGCGCTCTGTATGGTGACGTCTGGTGCCTCTTTGCCAGGTGTTGGTTCAGTACCGTCGCGCGCGGCTGCGCAAGATGATGACCAGCCCCGGCTCGGTGTCCAACTTCCCCGGCGTCGGCCTGCCCATGTCGTACTCCTCCGGCACCGGCGTCCTGGGGCCTCTCCGAGCATCCCTTCTCCTCGCCCGCCACTCAGGGTGAGCATGAAGTATCTTCAGTTGGCGATGTTTTCATCCAGTGGTGTTCCAGCGTAGCCTTTATCGTTGCACCGGTAACGTATTTTGCAGTTTTATGTCATCACGACATAACATGCGATGTTTAGGTCAAGCGGCCTCGAAGCACTTCGCAGAGTTATTTTCACTGGCATCAGTCGAGTTCCCGAATCAGTGATTTTACAGTTCGTGTTACCCAGTCGGCTCGGCTGGTGACTAAGAGCTGCCTGCAATTCTCCTTACTTCGAATGAGCACCTGAGGTTCTGATGCGAGGCCTTTGTTTGCTGACGATGTGTCCGTACGCCAGCTGTTACACACAACGCATCACCATTACCATCATCTGTTCACTATAAATGGCCCCCTACCAAACGCTTCGTAGCGGTCCAGGCACGCAACCAGTGTTTTTCAGGAGGCATGCAAATTTTTCCTCTCCAAAATGTTGCAAAATCACCCGATATCTAGTGTAAGTCTCGTTGCTCACGGGGAGGGGGGGGGGGGCGGCACGGCCCCCTGGCCCCCTCCTTGGCTACGTCCCTATAACAGTCACGCGTCTGGCGCCCGCTAACGCCACCGCCCCCCCCCCCCCCTCCCTGTATTGCAGACTCGGGCTCCCTCTACTCGGGCGTCTCATCGTCGGTGGCGCCGCGTATGTCGTCCACCGCGCAGGCCATGTCCAACCCGGCCGGCTACGCGCAGAGCCTGGGCTCGTACGCGCCGCACCGTTCAGCCCGTCAGGCCAGCCGCTCTCGAGCCCGGGCCTGCCGGCACCGAGCGCCACGGCCGCCGCTTCCGCGCAGTACTCGCCGCCGGCCGCCAGCGCCGCCAGCTGGCCGCCGGCGCAGTGCCAGCCGGCCGCCGTCAACGCCGCCAACGCCGCCTTCAGCGCCGGCAGCCTGGTACGCCGCGCGCCGCGCAGACCTTCGCTGGGGTGTACGGCTGGTACTGACGCTGGCCCGGAGGGTGCCCGTAGCCAAGACTGTCACCGCCTGGCGGCCGCGGATGGTACTGCAGTTTGCAGGCTGCTACCGCCGGAGGCGACACAACGCGCTGGTATCAGCCCCGACGGGAGGAAATGGCGACGATAAGGGTTTGCGGGTAACCCCAATCGCCACCTGGTGAGCGTGTCTGTTACTGTCGCTAGTGGGCCGCCACCGCTAGGGGCGCCAGGCCCCTACTTTTGCGTCCCGGAGAAGGCGTTCACGATTGGTACTTGCTTGGCTCAGCATGCGCCGAACACGCGCTGACAACGGCTCAACGTCCGAAGCTAGCATCAACCCCGACCCGACGCCTGGAGCTGATGGTGGCCTCAGGTCAGCGTCAGCAGACGTGCTGACCTCAGCGAAGCACTGACCGTCCGGCCGGCCTTAGTCCGTCGCCCATAGCCTCTGCCGTCCTGACCTGAGCCGGACCGGTCCGGCTGCCTGCCAGACCGGCGCATCCGCGGCCCGCTCCCGCGCGGCGGCTGCCAACTGCCGGTCGTCAGCCGGACCTGCTGACCGCGCTGGCGTGCAGCCGGTGGGTGACGGTCAGTCAGGTGTGCAGGCTGGCGGCGGCCGCCAGATTTGGCTGACAGCGGCCAATCAGCCGTCAGACTCGCACCCCAGCCGGGCGGCATGTTCAGCTCTTCTCCCTGCCCATGATGGAGAGGCTCGCCGGCACGAACCCGAGACCTTCTTGGAGGCTACGGCTCGGCGTACCCCCGGGTCAGGAGGCGTGGGAGCACCCAGAGCGCGGCGGGAGGGGGAGGGAGGCCCCCTGATCTTTTGCAATGCGTTGACGAGATAGGACAATGTTTGCGCTCGACGTTGCTGGCAGTGACGTGATTATTCCTAATTTATTTGCCTGGGTGGGAGCCTGCATATGAGTCTCCCCCTCCCCGTTCCTCGCGGATGCGCTTCTTCGGTGTCCTGCGCGAACGTCATCCACGTCCGCATCCTGGCAGCGAGCTGTTAATAGTTAGCAACTGCTAACTACCTGCGAACAACCGTTTGCAGCTGTTCATGCCGCTAAGATGGACTTTGAACGCATTTCTTGCCAGCAGATCGTGTTTTTCAAGGCAGGTGAGCGTAAGCATAATGCGACACACTTGAGCCAGTGTTTCAAAGCCGGTCAGTGTGCATTGCCTATCTGGAAGAGGAGCGGTGTTATCTGCCGCGAAGGCTCTGCATGGCCGGCGTCCTGTCCAGCAGGGCTCCCCATTCGCCAGCCATGAGCGGTGCGTCTGTTGGATCTCGGGTCCGGAGGGCGTTTTGAGAGGTCTGAAGCAGCGGCGTGTGTGTCTCCGGGCCGATAGTATTGACATGTCATGTGGGGTTTTACCAAAGATGCGTGGAGATTTGGAGGATGCTCTGTTACGGCGGGTTGAACCGCGGATGGACGGCGCTCCGGTGTCTAATGAAACTATGTTGGAAATGACATTAGAAGTGCATGTTGCAATCCTGTAGATGCTCTAATAGGCTGATGGTGTGACAACCAATAGACTGTAGTGACACGGGGCCTCTTTTAGGCCGATAGATTATGTTTCGCTTGTGCTTATGTGAGTTTGAATCAGGAATCGTAGAAAATTGGCGCGAAACGTTTTTGATGTGCACTTATTTTGGTTAAATAAAGCTACAGTTGCTTGGTGTTAGATTGACCAGTGAAAAACACGATGACATTGACTTGGGGCAACGTGAAACAACAGCATAAATTTCCATGCTACCCCTTTACCAAAAACGCACGATAACGAAGGCTCTAGATCCACCATAACTTCTTTGACTCTGTTTTAGCGCCGGTTGATCATGTCAACGCTGTGTGTTAAGCCTCGCACTTGCAGAACTCATCCCCGGTATCAAAGGTACCACTCACGTGACAAAAATGCAACGCCGACGTAACACTGACGTTGTATTCCGAACAGATCACCTGTACAATAGCGGCCGCCGTTCCCTCCGGCCCACACGCACTCACTCGCGCCCGCATGGAGCCCGCACCAGAAGCGCTGTCGCCGACAACGCCGTGACGAGGAGGTGACGCGCAGTAACAACCGGAAACAGCGAACACCACGAGAATGACAGCGAACATTCATTGGTCCCACACCGCTGCTGCGGGTCGCTCTGCTGCGAACGCGCGCGCGTGCGAACACGATTCGAACACGAGTGTGGGCAGCTCCGCTGATGTGGCAAGAGGCTGTGACGCCTGCCCTCTTGACATCGGAGTGTGCAGCCCGCGAGGGCCAGGCCTGTACGAGTCCTGACTCCCAATGCTGACCGGCGCCACGCACGCTGCCAGGCGGCGTATCCACCAGATTCGTGGTCCTCTGTGCATGCTCATCGTATGCAGAGCCGGTGCACCCGAACGCACCTCAGCGTCGCATTGTAACCTAGCGACATCTAACGCATAGCCAACAGGAAACATCAAACAGATAATAATAACAATCGCCGTCTGGTCTGCCCGTCCTTAGCATCACTTGCAGTGCCTTCTGTTGCAGTGAAAACAAACTAAAAGTACATCAGTTATCCAGTCAGATGGCCCTTGATAGATTCCATGGCGCGCGAGAGCGTCGACTGCTTCTGGCTCGCCTGTTCTTTCTGCTTCTGGCGCTCCTTTCGGAGCGCGTTGGTGTGCGGGTTTTCGGCCATCACGTCGATGACGTCCTCCTTGTCCGAGTCCACGCGCCGGTCAGGCAGTTTGCCGTGTTTTCCGATCAGCCAGAACGTCTCCATGGCGCCCTTGCTCTGCTGAAAAAAATAGCATCCGTCACACATCAAACGGGGTCGCTTCACCGGGTGGTCAGCGACTTCAAGCTGTTGTTCAGCGCTTGGTGAACTCACGCGGTGAGTTAGCGTGGTTGGCGAGCTTTCAGTGAGTTTAAACCCGAGGATTTCAAGTCGGGAAACTCTCTTAAAGAAGGCGCATGGCATGTCGTTGCGCGCATCCCTCTTATGAAGAGCCAAAGCCTGCGGTGGCTACGTTAGTCCTCATGGATCACGCTGTAGCCGGAATCGGAGCCCGGTCGCCCACGTGAGAGCAGAGGGTGCCGACCACTCGGTCACCACACGGTCAACTCCCGGTCACCAATCCGTCACCACGCTCTCGCCGTGAAGCTCTCTTTCCATGCCCCAACGTCAGACTGTGGCCAGGCTCGCCCTTTAATGAGACAGCGGCTCTGAGATGTTCTTACGTAGATTTCTTAATTCAACGCATCTGAGACGGCGACATTGCATCTTCTTTCGTAAATCGGAGTTTCTTACCGCGTCCTTGTTGAACTGGACCCTGATCTCCATTTCTCCACGCAGTTTCATGATAAAGCCACCGGCCCTGTCCAGCGCCTCCTTGGTGGCCGCCGTGATGTGGATCTTGAAGGCTGGAAAAGGAGAAGGTTTGTTGGCATCCATATCATAAGGCACAAGGCGGAGGGCGTTCCTAGCGATAAATCACTAAAAGAATGATGCAACCCATGTAATGACATAACCCATGAATTTACGTCATGACTTCCGACACGTTCGTCCGTCCGCCCGTCTGTCACGCATCTTCACGCAAGTACATTGGGGGTGTGCCAGCAGACCACAAGGTTATCGTGCAGCAACAGGAGCGCACCATTACATTCCTTCCGCGATGGAATCCGACCGGTGCGACCAGCTGCTGAACCAGTCCACCAACTTCAGACCAATAGCGGCGCCAGCAGTGGACCGGGGGGCGACCAATGCCGCATGTTTCGAAGACAGCCTCGAAAACACTCTGGCACAGAAGCTGAGCGCGCTGGGGCTGTGGAATTGACCGACAAAAAGCCCTTTTCACTGTAAGCAGTATGCACCCAAAGTATGTGCGCATTTCACAGCAATGGGCTGCAATCGCCCCAAACATACGACACCGCAAATTTCACGCTATTGTCGTATACTGTCGAGTTCATTTGCCGGCCTGTCGCAGGCTAAGACAGTGAAGCCTGAAAGTTTATCCTGACGGTCCTCGGCTCGTCTTGCTGTCCGATCCGCGCGTTTTGTGCACCCCTACCGTCAGTGCGACAAGCCGCAGCTCTTTATCCTAAGACCCTTCCATTCCCGACGCGTAGCGTCAGCCCACCTGCAAGTAGCGAGGCACCACTCGTCCTCCACGCCAAGCCTGCTGCTTCGTTCCCCTCCCCCCCCCCCCCCGCTCTCCCTCGCCCCAGCACGGAGGCAGCCGCAGGCCGACGGCGACAGCGCAGGTCACTGTCTTCACTGACACCGCGTCCCAGCCGGGTGGCCGCGGCGTCACTCACGCAGGCCGGTCGCCTCCATCTTGCTGGTGATGTTGACTGTTTCTCCGAAGAGGGTGTAGCGCGGCATCTTGGTGCCGACCACGCCGGCCACCACCGGCCCCGTGTGGATGCCGATGCGGATCTGAAGCCGCTCGCCGGGCATGTGCGGCACCACGAAGTTCTCGGTGGCGTGCAGCAGGTCCAGCGCCATCGAGGCCACCTCGGCCGCGTGGTCCTTGCCTGTTGGACGGCCGTGTGGTGGTGACGCTACGGTGATGGGAAAGGAGAGCGGCGGTGGGGATGAGTGGCGTGAGACCGCTCTGGTGATGGCCGGCGAGGAAATTGGTGGCGAGGACGGATCAAGTGCGGAGCTGTCAGATTTCAGCACGTGAGGGGAGCGTTGCTTTGAATCGCTTTGATGGCTCAAGAAAACAAAATTAGTCGCACTGTTTGCTAACAGAATGTAACGAGCAGGGTTTGCAAATTACACGCGTATACAGCACAGAGGGAGCTTTAGCTAAACATCGACGAATGCAGACATTTTGTTACAAGCTTATTACAAAGACACTGAAGACAAAGGGGTCCCTTACTACATCACACATCAGCAGTCGCAAAACAACATAGGCCATAGGCCATAACAGCACAACCAGTGTAATGCACATGCAAATATAAAATAGAGCAAAAGCAAACCAGATCATAACCACTATCGGTGCATGAGACGACGATACAGAGAGAGGGCGGGAGCCTTAGAGAAGGGGGAGGGCGGCTAAAAGAGCCCTAGAGAAGGGGCGGGGCAGCTGACAGAGCCCTAGAGAAGGAACAGGGACGCTGAGAGAACCCTAGAGTAGGAACAAGGCGGCTCCCTAGAGAAGGGACAGGGTGACAGAGAGCCATAAAGAGGGAACGGTGCGTCTGAGAGAGTCCTAGAGAAGGGACAGGGCGGCAGAGAGCCCTAGAGAAGGGACAGGGTGGTAGAGAGCCCTAGAGATGGGGCGCAAGGCAGCTGCGAGAGCCCTAGAGATGGGACAGGGTGTCTGAAAGAGCCCTAGAGATGGGACTGGGCCGCTAACATAGCGCTAGAGATGGGACAGGACGGTTGCGAGAGCCCTAGAGACGGGACAGGGCGGCTGAGAGACCCCCAGAGAAGTGGCAGGACGGTTGCGAGAGCCCTAGAGAAGGGACAGGGTGACAGAGAGACCCCCAGAGAAGTGGCAGGACGGTTACGAGAGCCCTAGAGACGGGACAGGGCGGCTGAAGCGCCGCTGGGGCATGATTGCGTTGCGGAAACGCCACTACCAGAGTACGGGCATTGATTGAGCGACGTTTCGACAACGCAACCAGCCGCGCCTACCTAGCCGCTGGTGACTCATGATCTTATAGCAGGGCGTGGTGAAAATGAGTCGTTCCAGGCTGCCCGCCTGCTGCTGCTCTGAGGGAGCCCGGCGCGCCGGGCGGTCGGCGTCAGAACCATCGCTCAATCAGGGCACCAACAACGCACCGGCCGCAACGGAACGCGGCGTCACGCGGGACCTCCGCGCAACGTCACTGGGTCACTGCACAGGTGGTGCCACCTGGCTGCCGCGCCCGTGGCGCCACCGCACCGCGGGACATGTGGTACATGTGGCCTATACATGTGGTGTGTCCTGGCGCCGTGTGGTGCCACCTGACCACCCCGAGCCACACGCACTTGGTGAGTGGACTCTCGTCCTCTGACGTGGCTCAAGCTCGACGTGACGTCACTTGGCTTCAGCTCGACCTGACGTGACGTGAGTCAAGCTCGACGTGACGCGACATGGCTCAAGCCTGACGTGATGTGACGTGGCTCGTCGCGACTTGACGTGGCTCGAGCTCGTCGTGACGCGACTTGACGTGGCTCAAGCTCGACGCGACGCAACGTGGCTCAAGCCTGGCGTGATGTGACGTGGCTCGAGCTCGTCGTGACGTGACTTGACGTGGCTCAAGCTCGACGTGACGTGATGTGACCCGAGCTTAGCGTGACGTGACGTGACGCGAATCGAGCTTAGCTTGTCGTGAGGTGACATGACACGGCTGGAGCTGGACGTGACGTGACGTGATACGGCTCGAGCTTGGCGTGACGTGATGTGACACAGCTCAAGCTCAAGTGACGTGACGTGACGCGACTCGAACTCGGCGTGACGTGACGTGACACAGCTCAAGCTCAAGTGACGTGACGTGACGCGACTCGAACTCGGCGTGACGTGACGTGACACAGCTCGAGCTCGAGTGACGTGACACAGCTCAAGCTCAAGTGACGTGACGTGACGCGACTCGAACTCGGCGTGACGTGACGTGACACAGCTCGAGCTCGAGTGACGTGACGCAGCTTAAGCTCGGCGTGACGTGATGTGGCTCAAGCTTGATGTGACGTGACGTGACGCGGCTTGAGCTCTGAAGTCGGAGCTCAAGACCAATGAATCGAAACCACAGGTCCGAAACCGTCATCATCGCATGCTATTTTAAACGATTGCTTTTCGCTGGGCCTGCGAGCGGCGGGGTGGCGAGAGACAGCAGTGTGGGTGCACCAGGGCTCCGTTTTGGTGTCGCCCGTCGGAGCGTTTCTGGTGCAGAGGATTGGTGCAGAGCCGGCGCCGGCCACTCACCCTGGGCGCGCTGTGGTACGCCTGAGGCCACCATGTACGCGTCACCGATCGTCTCGATTTTGTACACGTCGTACAGCTCTATTCTGGAGTCGAACATGCGGTAGAGAGCGTTCAGGAGCGAGATGACCTGGAAGGCAAGCCGGTCTGCCGTTATCACCGTACACGGGATATGGGCTATGTCCGGATGGGTGGTTGGCTGCAAGGTATTGATCGTTCAGCAGAAGAAGGCAGCTTTACTAACCGCGCCTTCTGCGAGAGAGCTTTGTTTTGGTGGAATAAATCCATGAAACATATATAAATGCATATACACACACACACACACACACACACATATATATATATATATATATATATATATATATATATATATATATATATATATGTAGGCACAAAATTACTTTCGGTCGTTGCTTTTTTCGTTTCAGTTTCATCGTTACACACGTTCTGATCAGTATTTCGCGCATAGAAAATACACATGTCTTCCTCAAACGCACCTGCATCGGCGTGCTTTCTGAGGCCATCTCGGTGAAGCCCACGATGTCGGAGAAGTAGATGGTGACTGACTCGTACGTCTCTGCCGACACCTGCTTGCGCTGCTTTAGCTGTTGGGCTACAGTGGGCGGCAGCATCTGGTACAGCAGCATGTCCGATCGCTTCTTCTCATAGCGCAGCTCGTAGGTTTTGTATTGGAGGGTTTCGGTAAATGCCTGCAGTGGAGTAGGAAATGGCAAAATATACGTGGGGAAGTGGCAGATACTGTTGCTCTTGGTGGAGCTCCTAGTTGAGTTACATTTCTATATCTTGTTTAGGCTGTGATTCCCAAACTGCCCACAAGTTATGCCAGATTTATACGCAATATCTTTAATTTGAATCCAAATTGGACAGAATGTCTGGACTCATCGCCACAACACATTTTAGCACGAACCACAGTCTTCGCACAAACATCGGGCTGCATTGTACAAGACCACGTCAAAAGGCTGATGACTTGTTCAGCCGTTTCAGTCTACACACGCAGTATTCTATTTTATGCAAGGAGCACACGGGTACAAAACGACGAACCAAGTGAAGCATCGGTGTGCCCGCAGACTGCGCCGGTGTGAACATTATATACTGCGCACTCTTCCAAAACCCTGCCACTAACCTGAAGAGTTCTGGTGACTTTTCTGACCAGGATAATGATGACTGGAGAGATGATGAGCACAACCACCAGCAGAGCGATGCCCACCACCACGTGGCTGTTGGAAGAGCCCACCTGTGCAGGGCAGGTAATCATGCCGATGCCAAGGCAGCAGTATAGCCAAGTGGGGGAGAAGGCTTTTGGGGTCAGACCCATGTGGAGTTGGTGCTCCCCTGGGACCGAGTACCGCACTACTTTTGCTAGTTTACGACACCCGTAGGGATTCTCAAACATCCACAACAGGGCCATGAGGCCTTGTTGTGGATGTTTGTGATTCCCCAATGGGAATCACAAGCCAAAAAGTCCCCGAATGAAACACATGGCCTTTGTAGCGACAAATTGGCCACTCGGCTGAAAGGGCCGCTATGACCCGATTTAGAGCCCTACGCGGCGAAATCTTGGCTGCGCCGCTGTGTCAAGGTCTCGCTGTAAATCTAGCAAATCACATTAATGATTGTCATGCAGCAAAGTGGCGTCGTAATGGCTGGAGATTGCTTGGTGTGTTTTTGCCTGGTTTGAATGGGCTAAAATGAGTGTCGCAATTGGTTTCTACAATCCTAACAGTGCGGAAAGATCTTTTGGATAACAGAAGCGCATTTTCAAGGGAAATTAATGTCATCGTGAAGAGGTGTGTTATGTTTTGCATTAAATTTATATCGTGCCTATTTACTATCGCTCCAAGCATGCAGAAATGTGGTTTTGTGGCTGTGATATTGGCTGTCATTGTAAACCTGTTCCATATCATCTAGCGCGGCGTTTTCTTCACAATTTGCCGATTTGCATACCTTTGACATCTGATCGCTTTGACCATGCATTTGACGAGGGTAACCACACTGAAGTAACTAAAATGGCAAAAAACCTTTTCTACAAACGGTGGACGTGTCACAGATATGTATAATAATGCGTTTTAACCAATTGTTCTTTTCTCAACTAAAAATTGACACGTTAGGCCAAGGGAATACCCTTCAATGGAGTGTTCCACATTTATGCGGGATTTTTAAGTGAAATAGCCATTTTGAAAGTCTTTCGGTTCTGTTCGTAACCCTGCCCTTCTTAAGACCTAACCCCGCTAGTCTCTGAGCTGCGGAAAGGTTCATCGGGAAGAGTATTTCAGAGTCACTTTGTATTCATACCGTCATAATAACGTCATTCAAATCCTGTCATTCCATAAGTCATGTGGCGATCAAGGCCCCAAAAATATAATTGTCGAGGCGTTCATATCTGGCGTTTGTGAACGTGGTTTCCAGATATACCGACCGTCAATTGGCTTTCAGTCAGTCTTGTGCAAGGTACGATGACGTAATTAAACCGTGAAGCATTGATGAGCATATTTACCCAACCGAAAATTGTGCTGTCCACAGCAGTCTTTTCCACTTAAAAAGTATACCCATAGTTATGAGTAGGTTTGTTTCATCATATCTGATGCTTGCTTCGAATCCGTTCTTCGAATGTGAAACATTCCGTTTAAGCTAGTCATCACGCAAGAAACCTGCTAGGTACGGTATAGTGCACAACTCATTTGCGTGTATGATAAAATGAATTCTGCAGATGAGTCCCAGCGCTCCAGTGAGATGAGAACACATCACAAGGTCACAGCGTATTTAGAATTACGTCAACAGGCGTTGCATGACAAAATTTGACTCAACACCTCAATGCCTCCAACTTTTCAGCGTTGACGAAGCCATTGATGTGCGGATTGACAATGAAAGTAGCAAAATCAAATTCACACGCGCTTACCTCGGACAGAATGGTGTTTTCTATCTTCCCTCTGATCTCATACTGGATTTTCTGTAAGGAGTCCAGGTAGCCGAGCATGGCATAGAAGTACTCGGTCGCCTTTCCGAAATCCGGCTCGATTTTCACTCGATTTACGATCTCCTTCCTCCTCCTTGTGATGTTGGAGTACCACGGATACTCGTGCTGAAGTAGCTGGTACCTGAGAGTGGTTCAACGCCTACTGAACGCAGCCGCATGGCGAATCCAAATAGTGGAACATATTATTCAAATTCTATTGGAGCCGATGTTAAAGCACGTTCCTTTGCATGCGGTATCGACTTAAGCCTTTGCAGCTCCTAGCGTAAATTTGGGATCTGGAAGCACATCTTACGTATCAAAATGTCAACACACCCGAAAAATCCCCTGACGCTGTCATATACACAATGCAGTGCGTTGTGTAGTTGCGTTCCCAATGGGGCAGCGAACCGCGTGCTGCGACAATCGCTTACCTGTCCTTGATCCAGTACGCGAAGCTTTTACTGGCGTTGAGGAAATCCTGTCCGAGCGCGTCGTTGGTGACGAAGCTGAGGTAGCTGTTGTGGTCGAGGTCACCTCTGCCGAAGTACTCTTCTCCGAACACCATGCTGATGCCCAGATGTTCGATGGCGCGGATCAGGTTTTTGTATGCCAAAAGAGGCCGCCATACACCTACGGCGAGCGGTGGGGGTCAGGCGTGCGTGCAGTGCATATAACATTACGTGCAGCACAGTGGCTGGGTAACCGACCCCCCCCCCCCCCCATTCCTTTAGCGACTTTTACGCAACAGTGCGCATTTCATTTCGTACCATTATGACCCCATGTGACTGGGAGGCGGAAACAAGTAGGGTGGTGGCGGCCCACGGACCGATGACATAAGTGCGTTTTTTTTTTATCTCGGCAATGACGTGCCAGTGTCTGGTGAGCATCCGAAGTTTCTAGGTACAGTCACTCTGATACTTCAGGATCTCAATATGTTTGAGAATTTGCTGGGACGATTTCCTCACTGAAGTGTTTATGCCCACTTTTTATCTTTCAGATTAATGGCACGCGTCCATAGCGTGCTTTTGTTCTCGGTGTCAAGCCACGCTTAGAAGCATTCGAGAACCGCATGGGGTGTGGGTGGAGGATTTGACCAAGTCAGGCTTCGCATGACTTCCACTCACCTGACGAATCCTTCTCCTTGATCTCCCTGGTGAGCTGATCGAGGAAGATGTAGTTGGCGCGGTTGTAGAACTGGATGCCGGCGTCGATGGAGGGTGTGTCGAAGCGCGTGATTTTGTCCCGGAAGTCATCCAGCCGGATGCGGAACAGGATCTTGTTCTGGAACAGCTGGTCGCCGATGCGGAACTTGGGCCACTTGAGCTCGTCGATCAGCTGGTTGGTGTACTGGAAGTGCTCCGAGAGGTTCCGCCGGATCACAGAGCCGTTGGTGAAGAGGAAGAAGGCGATCTCGGCACGCTCAGACTGCAGGGCTTCCGTGACGTTGCCCAGGCCGGTGCTGATTTGCACCTGAAGGGCAGGCCCAGAATCCACATGGCTTTTAGGGCACAGGTGTATGTCAGGGCTACCAGCGGCGCGATGGCTATCAGCATCGATCTTGGTCGTTCAGATTTACAGCCGGTTGGGTCGTTCAAAACTTGCTCACGTTGATGCGATTTAGCATACATTACAATACCATTCGCGCCCCTTTTTGAGTCAAACGTAGTCCGGCTGTTGCGGAATCCAGCACAAAGTTTTTGGTTTATCCAGCAAGTCCAGCTTTGAGCCAGTCTAAGACGTGACATGACATGGGCGCCACCAGAGGCCACATTCAGCTCAGAGAGGCGACGAATACTTCACTTCCATGCCCTGGGACGCTGTACTCAGACCCCGTGCTAACGAAACGCTTCACAGCGCAGGGTGAGGCGTTCCTTAGACAGTCCCATCCAGCTTCGTGAACATCAGAGCTCTGCAGCATCTGGCACCAGGCGCGCGCCGACACCCACCTGACTTCAGCACCTGGCACCAGGCGCGCGCCGACACCCACCTGACTTCAGCACCTGGCACCAGGCGCGCGCCGACACCCGCCTGACTTCAACACCTGGCACCAAGCGCACCGATACCCGCCTGACTTCAGCACCTGGCACCAGGCCCGCGCCGCCACCCACCTGACTTCGGCACTGGCACCAGGCCTGCATCGTCACCCACCTGACTGATAGTCTCCTGCATCTCGTACTGGTACTGCAGCACGCTGATCATGTTGACGGCGTTCTGGATGATGAGCGCCATGATGGGGATGAAGGGCAGGCAGAGCATCTGCGCCAGGTGGATCTGCTTGCCCCGGCCGGTGGTGGGGTCCAGGCCGCAGCATCCCGTCTTCACCTGCGCGCAGAACGGCCCTACGCCTCGACACGACACTCAGACGCCGAGGCACGCGGAGTGCACAGCGCGCAGAACGGTCCTGGGTCTCAGCATTACCGGGGCACGCGCGGGGAAGACGTCCGGCGACGCCTGGTCCGCAGCACGCTTGCAGTGTTATCCGTGGCGACGTTTACCGTCACATTTGAAGACCATTCTGATCCTGTGGCCATCCATCAGCGGGCTGTCTGAAGCGACTCACGTAACTCGCCGATGTTATCGCCTGTCGAGCTGCCCCCTCCTCTTCCCTGAGCGGCACCCATGGCAGAAAGTCTTGAAATGTCTTTTTTAGAACATGAGTCTCTGCTTAGGAATATGATTGTGGAGCGTGTGCTTATCTATTAACTTCCGTAAGTGCTTCTACATTTTATTCAGTTGGCCTCGGTCTGTTCCTTGACTCCTGTGCCATTGAATGTGATCGCTTGGTTAATGTGGCAGTTAAATGGCATAATGCGCTTTTACTATGAGATAATGCAATACAAATAGCAACAATGTGAATCAATGCAATAATAATATTAATATGACACTATTACATGACGTTTCGTTCATACAGGCGTGCTGCCACCTGTTCATGTTCAATTTCATGTTATTCCCGAATCATTCCAACAAGTGGCTTATGTTTGATTGGGTGCAATTACAATGCTAGTATTAATTCATACACACTTCACCACCTTTCCCGTCGTTTGTACACTTGTCAAAAACAAAATAAGTGACCAATATATATATATATATATATATATATACACATAGATGCGACACTTATATGTCCAACAAAATACTTTCATATCCAGCGAGTGACACGCTGCTGACGCATAGAGCATCGTGTAAAGTCCATTGAACCGGAAATCGTTGAACAAGACGATAGAAACTGCGCGCTTTACAGGCAATGCACATAGTGTGCACAGATATCTGCGCAAAATATGGTCTCATGAATTTTAATGATCACTTAATCACGCATTGGTCTACAGACAAGGCGGGCAGAGGGTCATCGAACTACCGAAAGCATGTTGCGCGTGTTTAACACACGCATGTAAAAACGCAAGACACCGCTTGATTTCATTTTGCTCGCGCAGCCAACCGTATTAGTTGAAACGCATGGCGACATATCCGGAAAACCAGAGTGGGACCGATCATAACAATGTTGGAATGCAAACTGTAGGTCTAACGACCCGGTTACATATCAATTGCACACGGTCCTCTGGTTTCGGTAGGATTTCGACTTTAAAGGGAAAGTGGTGGGAGGCGAATGAAAAATGTAATTCATCTGAAACATTCACGCCGGGGGTTTGATACTTGACGGAAATGTCGGTGAAATCGAAGTCATTGCTGTCGTAAAAGGCAGTGGATGGCAGATGCCAGGAACATGGTGCCGGCCAGGTCCAGGTGGCTGGCTTCTGGCACGCGGCGCGGTGGACCGCCGTTCGTCCCGCCACGGCCGTGGCTGACAGACAGCACTCATGTGCAAAACACGGCTGACCATGGGTGGTATGCCGTGAGCACCTCTTCGGCTGCGAGCGGTCGGGACGAAATCAGGCAAGACTGGGACCACTCAGAATATGCTTGATAATACCAGTCCCTATCCGTTTTGATGAAAACATTGAAGAAGCGTCTGCTGCCAAAATACCTGCTTTGCTGATTTTCCGAACTCGCATGAAAAGTTCTAAAGCTTGGTTCGCAGTGGTCCAACAATCTCAAGTAGCTGCATTGGCTGGAGAAACATTAGTTCAAAAGGCTCCTTCTAAAATGCGTTACGCTGAAGCTGTATCGTGGGTCCTGCAAACAACCCAAAATTGAAGTTGTTGCTTTTGACCTCAATGGACATTTAAAATTCAGCATATGAATGCACTGGCTCATACGCAGGAAGACCTGTCCTCGTGCCGTTAATCGCACCAAAACTGCACTCAGCACCATTTCTCAAAACGCATTACGAGAACTGCGGGGTCCACGTCGCCTCGTTTTCATCACCAGCAGCGGCAGCGCCAGCCCAGCGCCGTTCCTCCACCCCCGCTCCGGTGGCGGGCCCCAGACACGCGGCCGGCGGCGACGCTCACCTTGAAGACGCCGCCGTTGAACTCGACGAGCTTGCTGTCGTCGTCGCTGTCCTCGAGCGAGAGGGCGGAGCCGCGGCGGGCCCCGCCACCGTCCTTCACCTTGTTGTTCTTCAGACCCATGGCGCGGTCGAGTGGGCGGCTCGGAACATGACGGGCCGCCCTCTGGCTGCTGCGTCCGGCCGCCGAGCCGAGCGCGACTGGCCGCCCCGCCGCCCCGCCCCCCGCCGGCCAGCCCAGCCCGCCGTCCCCGCCCCCCGCCGGCCAGCCCAGCCCGCCGCGCGCCCAATAACACCGCCCAATATCGGGCCCGCTTTAATTTCGGCGTATTAGCGCGGCTTGTTAAGCGCCGGTCGATTTGCTGATGAGACGGAATTGAGGCGGGGTAATAAGATGCGGTCAGTGAGATGGGGGGGGGGGGGGGAGGGGGGGGGCCGTCTCCCGCGCTCCGAAGGGGTGGTCGGCGCGGCGCCGGCCAGACGCCGGCAGGGGCAGTGTCGGAGAAGGCTGTGAAGGACCCCGGCGTCGCCGCCGCCGGCTCCGTCCCGGCGCCATGCCTAACAAGAAGAAGAGCAAAGATGGCGACGACAAGGAGGTAGGTGGAGTCTGAGCGAAGGCTGGGGTGACGGAGCGATGGGCGCCGGCTGGAGGACCGCCCGCTGATGGTGACGGATGCTGGGTGTAATCTCGAGATGACCACTTTTGATATTTGAGGAGGACGTTCGGTTTCAGCTTTCGTTGTGACAGACGAAGGATCATGAAGCAATGTAGTACTGGACGTTGGCTGAATGGGGGCATGCCATGACTGTAGCCCGGTACGCTGCGATGAAGCTTGCTCAGATGAAGCTCGGTGAGCACCAACACACTTGTAGACGTACACGGATGACCCTTTTGATATATTTGTATACCGCTCGCCTTGAATATTTTTTTGTGAACTCCATCGATGCCGCACAAGACAATGGGCCGCGAATATCAAAGAAACCCCGATTATCCCCACATGTTTCATCCATGCGCGGCAGGCACTGGAGACCTGCTTTATAATTGTATAACTGAACTTTTAACCGAGTACAGGTGCGACCAGTTATTCCATGATCTTGCTAATTGAAAAAATGAGAAAAGACTTGCTGAAGTAAATCGCGAATGCCAATGGATTTAGTGGATAAAACAGACAGTGTCAAGGAGCAGAGGATCAATGCAAAATGAAAGTGTGCCGAACGTGTTGAGTGTGGTCTTTCGCGTCGCGGTATACCTCGTAAGGGGCGCCCCCAACAGTGGTGACTTGTGCGTCGTCAGCCAGAGGAGTAGAAATGTCGTGGAAACTAAGGGGGGACGGGCAATATTGACTTTAAAGGTGCTTCATTTCATGCAACATTACCGTGTTCATGTCAAACGTTCCCAAAAAGGGGGAAAGCTTGACCCTCTTTTCCCTGTTCTTACAGCTATGCTATCAAATGTCAACAACTCTACTCATAGCCGAAATAATCGAAGCCTTTCTTGTGGACTCGGGTTCGGGGAGTGGGGGACAGAGAGTAAAACAAATCTACCAGTAAAGCATGCTGGAAACTTGGTAAAAGAATATTGAGAAATGGCAGGGAGCTGTCATCCAAGGACTTGCTGAGGAAATCGCGAAGGGAAAGGAACAATTATGATCGTGCTCGCACATCCGACACCATGTGATGGCGGCGTGACGTCACTTCATGAAATATATAGACTGGCGTATGATGCGGCTGATCTCAGTTTAAATGGCTTCAATGCAAACTTCTCTCATTCTTTGGCTAGTTAAGTTTTGTGAGGGATTTTCGGCCTCACGTCTGCATCTGGTCTCAAGGCCCGATTACAATGTGTCAGTCAGTTGAGTATTGTGCCGCTGGCCAATCAGGAATGAGCTTCGAAGAAATAGGACGGCGAACCGCTATTTTTGTTCATTGGGTGACTTCGTGCATAGTGCATACATGAGCTTTTAACCAGGCTGCATCGAATACAAAAATTGAGAGGGATTGCGCAACAAACCGTGTTTCCAAAAGATATGCTAATGCAGGTCGTTTGCCTATTACATGCTTCTTGCCAAATACTGCTGGCTAAATGAGCAATCTTTTTCCATGATGGCTATTGTCACATGGCAAGCCTGGATTTTGGCTCCTTTAAGTCTCCTTGTTCGTTCGGTCACGACCGTACTGTGGGCATTTGGCGACATTTTCTGTCTGCTGAACAGCAAGAGCTTTATGCAAGCAACCAAGCTAAAATATGAGAAGTGGTCTGCTGGCCACCTCCGTGGTGCAGAACAGGCGTTCTAACCGTAGGGAAGGGAGAGGGTCTCCCGGCTGAATTACAGGTATCTTGGGAACGGGCATCGCAGTTCGGTCAAATCAGATCAGGGTCAAGAAAGATAAGTTTTGAGACAGTGTCAAACGAGTAGGGGGGGGGGGGGTGGGGGGGGGGGGGGCGTGGGGCTTGACAGTGTTTAGCCACAAGCACTAAGCCGAAAAATACGCTATTATGGTACATTTTTGCCACAATGCAAATAGTGGCAGTGTTTCGTCTGACTTGGTGTGTTCAGATGCGAGTGCGATATCGACATGTCTATTGTGTGATTCGACTTGTGTTGCCAGCACGTAATCGTTGTGTAAAACAATGCCCTTGTTGGCTTATCAGCCGCTTACATGGTCGCTTTCACAGTAAGAGATAAGAATATTTGTGGCTTGTGCCAGCTGAGATTCGCTGTCGGACGCGGGGGTCATAATTCGATGCATCCTGAGGGGAAAATGGATGTAGAAGTTGGGAGACACTGGTGAGAAGGGAATGCGCTGGACTAAAAACCAGCGGCGTGGTTACGAATCCCTTAACGGACACAGTGCTTGACAAGACCGACATGGAAAGACCAGCTGACAAAAGTCCGAAGAGGGCCGACCATGCTCGAGGTGGCCGGGTCACGGCGCTACACGGCACGCAGACCCAATCGCAGTCCTGAAGCCCGTCTGACAACAGCTCCGGGTGCTAAACTGTGCGGTGAACTGGACCGGCAAAACTTGGGTGCTGGATGGAGTGTACACCCAAACAAGCCCTGCCTCGCAAGTGCTTTGAAACCACAGCCACTCATGTAAACTGCTCAGAATGGATTTAAAAATAAGGAAACAGCAGTTAGCCCATAACTATCTAGGTGTCTCACGACTGAGGCGTGATCACATTCACTCGCTCCTGAGACTGCATGGGGTGCGATATTAATATATTTTCAGGCAGCTCCACCTGTCTTGCTTTTGCACACCTCCACACCCTATGATGTGATTGCCCACTGTTGTGCGATTCATGAGTTCGTTGGGTTTCGGTGACGCAGTGGTTGGGCTGTGCATCTGGAAAACTAGAGGTACAGGGTTTGACCCTCCGCGGTGTCCGCCCAGAGTGAGAGGCAAACGTGGCATAGAGCGTTAAATGCTGAATGTGTCGTAAAGCCACCATCAGTAGCCCGTCCACCCGCCTACTTTCTTTTAACATGCCATGCCCATTGTCAATGTCTACACTTGGGTATTTTCTCGAAAAATGTAGTAAGATATTAACATCAACGACAACAATAGCAACACCAACATCTGGAGGCGTTATGGACTAGATGGGGTTGAAATATGTCGCCGATTCGCAGATGATGCGTGCGCCGACACCATGCAGTTGGTACACAAACGTAGCTGCTTTGGCTGCTGATATTTCTAATGAACCCCTTAAATACCAAATTCGAGCAGCTTTATGGTCTGTCACCGCGCACGAGTGACCTACCGCACACACCGACCCGCAGTTTGCTTGTGCCATTGTCCGTCCTCGTTGGTCTTGTGTGGCCGGAATGACGAATATCTGGGCCCGTTCTCGACCTGCGTTGTGACCTGAACACCTTGCTATTGTTCCCATGTGTATGATATGGAGAGGCTGTATTTTGGTGGTGTATAGGGGATGTGCGAGTTCTAAGTTTGATTATGTTGCAGTGATATATACAATCACGTCCTAACGAACCATTGTTTTCAGTTGCCTTGAACGGATCGAGCCCAGGAAGCCAATTACAATAGCGTTTTAGTCCATATAGTAGGCTGAAATCAAAGCGCAGAAATGATAGCATTGCGTGTGTTCGGAATTTTCTGAGGTCCTAGGCTACGTTTGGTCAGAATCTTCTGCCCGCTCAGGTGAACAAAAATAGCGAACTGCTTTGGTAATACCCAGTTCTTAAGAAATTACGAAACGGGCAGGGCAGCCGCATTCTTCTATTGCACTGTACTCACGTCTCTAAGCTCACTCACCGCCAACATCGTCACAGGGGGCCAAGGAGACGTCGGAGCGGGCCGAGAGTGAGGCGCTTGAGATGAAGTTGCCGCCCAACCCGCGCCGCCTCTCCGGCATCTCCATCGACAGCGAGGACTCCACCAAGATGGTCGAGGTGCGCACCTGGGTCCACACTCGTCCCAGCTGGTGGCCCCCAATTAGACAGACAGCCTGTGCTAGAGAAAGATGCTGACATCCACTGATTCGGTGCTGGTAAAAGAGACTGCCATGTTGCTATGCGCCCTTGCGCCAGCCGTACTCGGGCAGACAGGGGGCGGAAGGAACAGGTAAGCTCCATGCTAACAGCTGACAACGGCATCGAACCGCCGTAGGTGTCTAACAAACGACTGGGTCAGATGTTAAAAGTGTAGAAGAAAGTATTATGGGTATAGCATTTGTTCCCCTCCCCCCCAAAAAAGAAGAAAATAAACACAAAGCCGACCGTAGCCAGTGAGCTCCACGCTGATGGCAGACGGGTGAAGAGGGTCAGAGTCAACCGTTTGTTCGTTGTATCTTCGAAAGGAGCTGCCGATCTCAGAGTCAGTCCAGTTCCCCGACAGCTGTCTGGACAGCCCTATGTTCTCGCTGCTCGCTGGGCTTGCTTGCAAAGAGCTTGCTGAACAACTCAATTTTATGGCAGGTTAAGACGGGCTGCTGCGGCATGGACCCCACCACAGGACGGGGGAAGCAGCTCCACCTGATCCAGATGCTGCTGCTGCCTTTCATCCCCATCATGGCGCTCATCATACAGAACGTGGTGAACATGGTCACTGTGCTGGAGTCTCAGGCAGACATGCAGAAGACCATCGAACAGGTGAGCAGTCGCGGCTTAAGACGCTGTTTACCACCTTGTAAGGAGGAAGGTATGCTGTATTCGCATTACATAGCGCTAAGACCAAACCTAACCTAATTAGAAGTCATGCAACTGATGTGCACCGAGGATCGATTGTTAAGTGCTCATACTTGGCGGCTTGAGTCGATGGATCGATAATCGCAATCGCCAAGGAAGCATTAATGAAGATGAAATCAATTGCATATTAAAACATTTAATGACATCATCAAAACTAAATAGGCATGGATCGCTACGTCAAACGATGCAGTAGATACGTATTTTCAGGTGCAAATCAGTACCGACCTGGGCAACGTCACGGAAGCCCTGCAGTCTGAGCGCGCCGAGATCGCCTTCTTCCTCTTCACCAACGGCTCCGTGATCCGGCGGAACCTCTCCGAGCACTTCCAGTACACCAACCAGCTGATCGACAACTTGCAATGGCCGGAGTTCCGGATCGACGACAAACTATTCCTCAACAAGTTCCTGTTCCGGATTCGCTTGGACGACTTCAGGGACAAGATCAGGAAATTCGACACGCCCTCCATCGATGCCGGAATAGCGTTCTACAACAGGGCCAATTATATCTTTCTGGATCAGGCGAGTTAAAAAAATCGGGAGAGGGGAGGCCTGTTTTGTACCCGTTAGTATCTTCCGAATCCGGAGATTTCGTGTGCAGGTCGAATTAAACTTCTCGTCGCGTTAAGCTTGACTTCCAGTTTTCACAATCTAACGGACGATTTCATGACCAGTTAGATAGCATCACGTCCTCTCAGAACGGTATTGACATGATACCTTCCCCACCACATATATCAGTGCGAGCGTTTACACCTGGTGCCTGACGAAGGATGTTGCCAGCGAGCACAAAATCAGTCAGTGCAAACGTCGACCGTTAGAAGCACCGAATGTTGACGGCTAAGGTTGGGAACCCCAGGCCATTCATTCCCTGTGCTGACGCCTTTTTTTGTGTCATCCGTGTGGACGCGGTGCTCTCAGCACCTAATATTGCACACACTGTAGGTGACTTGGTGTTTGCTCCCATCATGACTCAGCGCCTGACGCCTCCTTGACTGAGGGTGACTTGCGTGTGCTGCTGCCAGCTCACTCGGGAGATCAAGGAGAAAGACGCCAGCGGCGTGTGGCGTCCGCTCCTCGCCTACAAGAACATGATCCGTGCCATCGAGCATCTGGGCATCAGCATGGTGTTCGGCGAGCAGTACTTCGGCAGGGGCGACCTGGACCAGAGCAGCTACATCGAGTTTGTTACTAACGACGCGCTTGGACAGGACTTCCTCAACAGCAGTCAGAACTTCGCATACTGGATCAAAGATCGGTATGTCGCTTCAAGCAGTGCGCGATCGCTAGTTTTCGCCGCACCGGAGTAAGGTTTCATGCATGACAACTGGCCAATTGCCCCTAAACCACGGATGAATGACCCCCAAAAACGTGCTTGGATCGTGTCTGGGGACATCGTTATGCCTTCCAAATTATCTTTACATCGTGTCACGTCACCTAACTGAGAAGATAGGTGAGCGATCCTGAGAAGAATTATTGCTTTCTAGTCGTTGACTGATCTTTGGTAGCATGAGTGGAACACGGCTATGTTTTCGGCGGCCAGAATGCTGAAATCGTCTGGTCGCTTCGTGACGAGCTTACGATTCCCTGACGGTAAATGAAGTCTATGTATTTAAATTAAGTCCTATACTAACGTGTTCATGTTCTACCAGAAATCGGTGTGAACAAAACTGTCTCTTCGGTTATCATTCCCGGCACAAATTTGCACCTTTCCGATTTCAGTTTATATAAACTTGTTTTCCATTTGCCCACATTTATCCATAGGGAGGCGTATGCATTCAGAACTAAATGGTTTATTACATGCGATGAGCGAATAGTTGCACTCGCAACGCTTTCGAATTGCAATGTAAGTGCAGATCCACGCCCTTTCTGATAACTCCCCTCCCCGCTGGCAGTACTGCATCGCGTCGTTTGCCCTTTCCCAGGTACGTGCAGCTGCAGAGTATGTACCCCTGGTACTCCAACATCACCCGACGACGTCACGAAATTTTGCTGCGAGAGAAGATTGACCCCGACTTTGAGAAAGCTACGGAGTACTTTTATGCCATGCTAGGGTACCTCGACGCCCTGAAGACGATCCAGTACGAGATCCGGTAAGACGTTGTTCTGAATACTTAATTCCTGGGTGGTTGTCGGAGCCTATATTTGTGCAGAGTCACTAACAGCTTCACCCAGGTATCCCAGAACTTAATTAGCAAAGCCTTACACTAGTTACGTCAAATGAGTAATCGCGATATATTTCACATGTTCACTATCCAAAGGTCAGCACCAGAAAGAAAAAAACAAGTCCAGTTTTCACAAACATGATAATTATGTATTTCATTGCATCGCAAAACGCAATACATCGGCTTTGATGCAAGGAAATTTCACAATGTTCGTCGTTTCCTGCCGCAGTTTTCCGGAAACGTTTTCCTTGACCGCGGACGACATTTGGCATCGTCACACATTTCAACACTTCCGAATACCGATATCCTTTTTTACAAAGAAAAAACAAGAGCAGTTAATAAATCCAAACAACTACGTTGCAAATCTTTGATTACATGAAAAGTATGAAAACAAGTCATCTTAATCCGCAGTTTTACTATTTTCATAAAATAAATCCAAACTGCGACATCAACTTGCGTCACATGTGTCTATTGTTGTTATTCCCACGCCCAGTCCAATGCGTCGCACTTTGTATCACCGACAAGCGTCATCTAAGAAAAGAGTTATCTTATCTGCGAAAGTATGCTGTGAATTTCATATTAACCGCAACATGTCTGAGCAACACCGCGTAAGCTTGCTATGGCAAGCCTCCTAACCAGCTCCACAGCCGCAGCCATAGGAAAGGTCAGCAACAGTCAAAACTACCTCGAGCTGTGCTGAAATTACGTACAGGAAGCCTAGATGGGCTCTTCAGATCGCTACATGGGAACGGACTTTGCTATTGTCTCTGTCATCGTTAATGTATACCTGCTGCATCAAATTACCGATTCTTCAAGCATGATACTTCAAGAAATGCAGCGAATAAATACACATGAGCCATTGTTATAAAAAGGTCACCGATAATCAATATGGCTAGACGCCAAAAGGGAGGCAAATGATAATGAAGCATTGGAAGTTGATTTGAAATTGATATGCTTGGAATGATATGTGTTTAAATGTTTGAGCACGCTTGGCCACCTTTTCGTAAGTCACACTTTGGTCATCGTTTTCTAAGGTCCGTGGCCAAAAATGAACTTAAAATAGTTTCCCTTAAACATGTAAAACGCGTTTAAGGGCGTATTCATTTTTAGGGCGCCCAGACAATCTTTCATTGACTTTGAATGCGTTATATTTGACAGCACTGAGCCATAAAACATCCTCCGACCTGCTTGACATGATCAAGTGTGACTGAACTCAACTCTGCCCCAGGCACGAGGTGGAGAACACAATTCGGGAGGGCGTGCGGGCGCTGAACTCGGAGGTGGTGGTGGGCCTGGCGCTGCTGGTCATCGTGCTGCTCATCTCCCCCATCATCATTCTCCTGGTCCGCATGGTCACCAGGACGCTACAGGCACGTCAACACGTCAAAAACACGTGATGGTCATAGTGATGCCACACGAGCTGTGAGGTTCTGCTTTCACTCAACACCTAACCATGCTATTCGGATGTTTGTGATGGTGATCGGCAAGCAACTATTCATTTTATCTTCATTATCATGAAAACCCAGGTGGCAAATATTCGCATTTGGTATGATGTGGACTGTGAGTAATGCGGATCTATGTTCAGGCCGAGGCCAAACTCATTAAATTGGAACACTGTTTACGAGCCGCAATCACATGCTCTTTCCACAGGCGTTCTCGGAAACACTCCTGGAAAAGACGCATGAGCTAAGCAACGAGAAGAAGAGGTCCGACAAACTGCTGTACCAAATGTTGCCGCCGACGGTGGCTCAGCAGCTCAGGCAGAGGAAGCAGGTGATCATGTAGAACTTACCCTCGCCACTGCTGATATACATTGATCAGAATCTGTTGATTGGGATCCGAGCGTCAAGGAGATCATTTAAACGACACAGCTTGATAGTGGACCATCTTTGTCGCCTCATTTTACATAATTTGGCTTTTCTTCTGATAGACGATCCTCGTCCCGTTTGATGATGATGACAGGATAGCTATGAGTGTGCGTGATAAGGTCCAGTCGCCTCTGCTAATGAAGTCAGCCTCTGCCATCCCCATAATCCCTTTTGTGCCCGATGCATCCCAGAGCGGATTTGGAACCGTCCAGGTCAGCAGTACAATGTTACGTTTGTCAGGCTTTGAGAAAATCTAAGTAAATTTTAGAAAATGTATTTTGTCTATCCAAACGGTCGTATTTGGCGACTGATGCGTGCAGCACTGAAAAAAGTTAATGGTTCTACAGAAAAAAACTATTAATAATTTGAAAGGCATGTAATCAATACGAAGAATTCATCCATACATAGGCACCCTCGGAACTCTGTGACAGCAGCAGTCTGCCAAGAGTGTCGTTCAGGTTCGCTGGAATGTATCGGGCCTCATAGAGTCCTCTTCGCAATGCCGAGTGATACATCAAGATGCGCATTACAAAACGCATGTCACCGCGCCGTGCTCTCGCGAAAATCGGTGCTATTCTGCGCTCTAAACCGGCACCAAGTATAGCAGCTTGAAGGCCGCGTCGGCGCCGTAGCCGTGAGCGCTGATCGCCCCCACCCCTTCACCCAGGTGTCGACGGAGGTGCACGAGTCGGTGACGGTGTACTTCAGCGACATCATCGGCTTCTACGAGCTCGCCGCTGAGAGCACACCGCTGCAGGTGCCTCTTGTTTCCTCTGACCTTGTGCCAGTCGCTAGATGTAAAAAGTGGCGACTTGTGGACTATAATGTAGGACTCTTTGTTAAGACGAATTGCAGTCTTTGTATCGTTCGTGAACGCAATGCTCTTCCAGGCTGCCATAGTGGGTCGTTTTTTGGAGAGGTGGGTGGGGGTGGGGATGGGGGCTGGAGGCAAAAATTTTGTTCATCCCATTAAGCATCTAAAAAAAATACATGACGAATCAAGTTGTCGTCATAGTCAAAGTTACAACATAGCTGTAGGCACTGCTATATTTTCTCACACACGACCCAATGCGAGCCTTCTTAGCCCACATTTCAGTATTCGCAATCATCATTTTATGATGAACGAAGCAGCGATCGATATCCCAAGGATTTGGTTTTAAAGGATGTCGTTCACGCTGGCTTGTAGCTCGTCAATGATGTAAAAATACCAAGTCATGGCGCTGCGCACAAAATACATTTTGCCGTACATCATGCAATTTCGGAACCGTGAAGAGTACAGAGAGCAAATGCATCAGAAGGTCAACCAACTGTTTATTTTAGGTGTGGTTTCTTGAATTCGAGTGACGTCATATCAAGTCACGTGGTCAAATTATACTTCGGTCTGCAAGTGATGTGTTGAGTGCGATGTGACGTGTTGAGTATTAATGAACCACGCTGTTGCCAGGTGATCTCGCTGCTCAACGTCATCTATAAGATGTACGACTCACAGATTGACTGTTATGACGTGTATAAAATCGACACCGTCGGCGACGCGTACATGGTCGCCAGTGGACTGCACATGAGACGGCCCGGTGGGTAAACCCAGAAACGCGCTTTTGTCCGGACACCCAGCTTATCCCCATACCGCAGCATGATTGTGCCCTACAGGGTAACGTTATGGTTAGATTTTGCAAGCCTAAGGTCTAACCATAGCAAAAGGCAAAAACCAGGCAAAAGTGATGAATTGGGCACCAGTCAAAGACGCGCTAGGCAGATGAATGTCTTGCTTTTCAGCATTTTCGCAGTAGAAATGTTTACAGGCAATGTGCGGCAACGTGTAAATCTGGGTTAATGCACCCGTTGTGTCGGCGATTCGGACACATACCTCATATGCCCACCACAGTCAGTGGCCTGAATTTCACATCCCGTGTTGATATGTATGATCGATATGCGACCAAAGCTTTCATAGGATGGCGCGACCATATCCTGGTGCGCGCAGCTCCTTTGTGTAAACGGGCAAAAGGCACTGAACTCCGGCGTCACCCATGCCCAACTTGGCCATTGTTCAGAAGACTGCAGGTGTCATGTTAGACGCAAATCACACTGTAATATCGATCATGTGCTGCAGACACGAATCACGCGGCGGAGGTGGCCCACATGGCCCTGGACCTGCTGACGGGCACAGAGAACTTCGTCATCCCGCACATGCCCGGGGAGAAGCTCAAGATCAGGCATGTCCTCTGCTTCGAGACAGCTCTAATATGATGACCAGTTACTGGTGGTATAGTAACCCAGTTGTAAAGGATAGTTCAGGTTTTCTTATCGGCAGTCTGGACCGCTTTCTTCGAGAAATTAGGCGCAAAGGCAGGCAGTGAAAAGTTTGCTAGGCAGACAAAAGGTCAGTACATCAGAGGTCAGAGAAACGTTGAGAGTGCAACGTTTTGCTAGTTGATAGCGCAACGCCTTGCAATGGCTATTAACTTACAGCAGCGGTACGTCCGTCACGCATTCATACGGACTAGTCACCTCTGCTTTACGGACATCATTCATTCCCATAACGACTTATTGAAGTTTTGATTGTGAAGAGAGCAATAACCGAACGTCTCATGGTTTAGTGAAAAAGATAAAAGCAATGCGTGACAACTCAAGCCCCGTTTTCCTTCCATTCCAATGTACCGTGAGACTGTTGGCTATTGCACTTTTCAAATCATTATCTTAACTCTCCACCGTGCGCTGAAGCAAACGTTGGCATTTCTCTTCCTGGAACTCGCTGCTAAGAGCCTAAACATTGCTTTCATTTTATGTGACGAATCAGACGGGCTTCGGGTGCTGTCATGACGTCAGGGTCTGCCATCAGGATCGGAGTCCATACGGGCCGGGTGGTGGCTGGTGTGGTCGGCACTAAGGGTCGGGTGTTGTCATGACGTCAGGGTCTGTCATCAGGATCGGAGTCCATACGGGCCCGGTGGTGGCTGGTGTGGTCGGCACTAAGGGTCGAGTGCTGTCATGACGTCAGGGTCTGCCGTCAGGATCGGAATCCATACGGGCCCGGTGGTGGCTGGTGTGGTCGGCACTAAGATGCCGCGCTACTGCCTGTTTGGCGACACCGTGTCAACCGCCTCACGTCTGGAGTACACAGGCCAACGTGAGTCATCGCACTGCCGGCTGGGTAGATGGTGGCATCAGCGATAGTAAGGCATGACCGGACACCGTGGGAGTCTGAGTGCACAAGTTTGTGCAGCGAGTGATGGACACTGTACTTGAACCTTGCAGCTGACCTCCACTTGGCAGTTAGCGAAGTGGAAGGGGTACATAATGGATCAGTTCTGCCTGTTTCGGGCGCGATTCAAGCGTCGTTCGCCCCGGGCATTGTCTCTTCTTACCCCAAGCGCGCACCTGACGCGATCCAAATGACGTCATCGATGCCACCTCGCTTACCGGCCATATGACTTTACTCCAAGTGTAAGCCTGACGCGATCCAAGCGACGCCATCGATGTCACCTCGCTTACCGGCCATAGGAATTCACCCCAAGCGTGCGCCTAACGCGATCCAAATGACTTAATTGATTCTACGTCGCATATCTGAGTCCTGCAGCAGCGACTACGCGGCTGGCAACCACGGGGCTCACCAGCACGCCTGCGTTTCAGCGTTCAAGATCCACATCTCAAGCGCGACCCGCAGCATGTTGGAGCCCACGCAGGGAGGCTTCATCGTGGTGCCACGTGGAGAGGTGGACGTGCACAGGGTAGGTACCAGGCCCCCTACCCATTCTGCCCATTCTGTCAGGATTTGGCGTCCCCCCGGTGAAATGCACAGGTGAGGCTGCAGGGTCGAGTACGTGCTTCTTACGTTGGGCCTGGTCTAGATCGCCTCACCGAGCTACCAAAGAACAGCCAAGTTGTCCGAAGCGTGTTACACGCAAATACGTTGGACTGTGTGGCTTCCGGCGCCTGGGCACCAGGAGAACGTGCCATGCAAGCGTCATCTAAGTAGGCACCTGTTCACATGTCTGCTATTGCATCAGCGGCTTGTTCTTGTCATTGGGGCTGCTGGGTGATCAACGAACTCATTCGCAGAACAAGCCGAAGATGGAGACGTTCTGGTTGGTGGGTCGCCACAACGACACTAAAAAGCGGAAGGAGAAGATGGAACGAGAGAACAGCACGAAGGTCAGCGGCAGCAAGAAGAAGAAGGGCAACCCGTCGGTGATTAAGAAGATCCTCTGCAAATAACGCGTCCCTACGTTGACACAGCTGATGGTGGCTTCGCGGAGACACCGGCGTTGAAAGGTTGTTTAGAGCGGAGGATGGCTTTGGTTCGTGAGCCGAAGCGACTTCGCCAAGCGGAAAATTTGTTGCACTATGTAGGTATGCGCAGGCCGACGTGGCCATGGAACTTCGCACAATATCAGTCAGTCTTCCCGCCCTGTTTGTCGTCTTCGTTGAGTTACTGTGAGCGGTTCCCTGAGGGAACACTGGACGACACGGGATAAATGGTGGACAGTGTACGCCGCTGTGGCAGCCGCGTTGTTGGTACCATGCCAGTACCAAATATTCAGAGCCCTCGATGATCACTGACACACTGGTAGATTGTGGTATCCTCCAGGCAAAACAGAAGGTGTTTTGAGGCGCTTGGGCGAGACTTTGCTTTGTTCTCAAAGTCCCCAGTCTAAGCTGGCTGATTTGACGACCTTCGCCTCTTTGACGACCTTTTCTATTTGAACAGAAGCTACTTGAACAGAGGATTGAAACTACTGTGACGGCGTACACTTGGGTGTGATTATCAAGACGCTGACCTGTCGAAGTAGTTTTTAGCTATTTTTCACAAATACTTGCAGGAAAATCCATAGTTGGATTGCCATGTTTTCGGTACAGACTTGTCCGAGCATAGAAATTTTACGATTGTCCTAGAACATAAGCCATACATTGCAGTTGACCGTGGATGCGACAGCCTTAAGAGAATGAGGATCAGCTGGCACTTTTTCTTCGCCAGCCCCTTAAAATACAGAATCGGGTGAACACAGGCTGCAGTCGCCAGTGCCGCGTAAGGCCCCATTTGTGCCGAGAAAGCTTAAAAGTATAAGGAAGTTGCTGGGACAAAACTGTCAAATCTTGCATCTGTCGATCGGGAGACGTTTGAATTATGCTTTTCTGAATAAAGTTATCGAAGCTGCTGAAATACTTGCCACCCGCTGTTGTCCACCAATCAATATTATGTCACCATGCACAAGTCTGCTCCTGGAAGGGTAATAGATTATAGGATCATGATTTCATTTATTTGGCACCCTCTAGTCATTTTAAACCCGTAAAAATCACTGAGGAAGTAGAAGCCGGGTGCCACATGTGATGAATCTTTTGCGTTAAGATCCTGACGCAACGCTTTCATAAAGAAAAATATTCCAAATGCTCGCTGGAAGTATTTGCCACGGGAACAAGCAAAAAGCCACCGGGGTGTGGGGGGGGGGGGGGGGAAGGGAGGGGGAGGGAGAGCAAAACCTGCGCAGGGGATAGCGTGAAAATCTGTCCAATACCTCTGCAGCATTCATATAATTGATAATGCATACACGTCAACTGCATATGGCTACAGCTTCCGATGTTTAGCCTCTATTTCCGGCCGTAGTCAACAAGATGATCGATGTGATTTAACATTTCGGTTGAAGCACACGGCGAGCAGCCTTTGCACGAGGCATCATGAGAAGCGTAAATTGAACGATGCAAGAAATCGTTATTTTTGAAAGAAATACGGAACTGGTAATCGGATTTTGGATGGTCATGAGGTATCCTTCGTTACTGCCGCTGTGTGCTTGCTTGTTCTACTGTTTGAGCCCATGTTATGGAAATAAGTGTGCTGGGTGTCAAATGATGTCGAGCTCTGGTCTGCGTGACAGCTGCACCCGCGCGAGAGAGCTACGTGGCCGGTCGTTCACCGATTGCGCGGTGTCTGAAGGTGTTGATGGGAGCGTTATCCTGCTCACGATGCAGCGTAATGATGAATGTAGGGGATTTATTTCACAGCCGAGAACGTGGGTCGTGTCACATCCGTGGGTACCCACGAATTGGACAGGCTCAACTCCCAGCGCGTTGTATTTTCTCAAGTAAGGTTAGACGCAAATACCGTTTATGTGCTGTCAACGATGTTTGATACTTTAGGTTTTCTCAAGTCTATCATCGAGTTACGCGGTGATGAGTTTCGTTTATCAATGTGAACCAGACCTCCCCCAAATGAACGCGCTTGATAGGAAAGCGACGTTTTGTTTTGTTGCCGCATGCAGTCGTTGAAGAGACCGACAAGCCTAGCATGACGTTTTTGGAATTGATGTTTATGGGCGACACGGTCAATAAATGTGACTGAAAGGATGTTGGGTGTGTCGCCTGAGCCCACGTCCGATTGGCTACGAAACGTCTTTAGAAAACAGCGATGATGAGGATCCAAGCTACTACAGGTCATTCTTTTGACGTCCTTTTGACATGACCTTGGAATATATGTGGTTCTGATTAAGTCACCATGATCCCATTGCGCGTTTTCTAGGGTATATGGCCAGACCGCATTAACCATGAAACATTGTGAACGTGACACAGATGCGTTAACAAAAAATGGGTACATTTCCAGCGCTATTTTGGGTCACTTCTGGAACATTAAGGCATGATGACAGGATGACGTTTAAGATGGCCAGGCGTTTTTTTTTTACTCAACGTAGACTGGAGGGCTGTAGTGGAATACTTGAAAATTGAGTTTTTGCTTTGCATGGCCCAGAGTTATTGTAATGAAAAAAACAAGTGGTGGCCCATTCGGCCTCTGTAAGGTCGGACAAATAATTTCTTGAAAAGTTTTGGGCAAGCTCACCGGTGCTTCAATCAACACGCCATATGAAATTCCGAATCATATCCTTTTAAATATTACGGGAGCTGATTTCACTCAAACGATATCTTGCAATTTTGAGATTAATGTCGATTACGCCAAGAATAAGCTATCAGCATAGTAGCGAGAAGCAACAAAAAAACAAAAACAAAAAAGCATGCGATTTATATCAAAACGTATGCACGTAAGCTTACCTATGTACCAATGCTTACCTGCGTATACCTGTATAATTTTGAATCAATTAAAAATACAATTACAAATTGGACAGTCAGATAATAAAGCAATGCAAAAGTTGCCAAGTGCATTTGCAAGAAACGTTGTGCATAAATATATTCATAACAACAGGGTACTTATAGCATTATTTCTGATAGAATTACCAGGAAAATGGAGGGACAGATGGATCGATATTTCGGCCACAATTTATCTCTTATCGAAACAAATACCAATAGCGTGTATCAGTAATGCGAATGCACGTAGCGAATGCGTTTCAAAACATCAAGAGCTCATAACGTCTGGTGGAACTGATTACTGATATTCGTTTTCATAAAGGCATGCAGCCGAATTATCAATATATCCATCTCTCCATTCTCCTGATTATTCTAGGGGCAATATGGCTATTAGTAATGTCTTATCCATAAGCGATGAATGGAGCAAATTGGGTACCAAGCAAGAGTAAACTTTATTAAGGTATTGTTTCCGTAAAAATGGACGTAAAATGCGGATAACGTGCTACGAAATGTGGCCATTGCACAGCCATGAGTCACATCGGTCACTCCCTGCAAAACTTAGCAGCACGCCGGCAGTATTTTTCGCGGCGCACCTAAAAAGCCTCAAATACACGTAACGGATGCGTGTTAGAACATCCAGAGCTCATAACGCCCATTAGTCAATACGTTCAAAATCGCTGCACCCAGCGCTCACAACATTCAAAAATTGTCTAATCTTCCTGGACAGAGGAGAATCACAACACCCAAGCCAGCAACATTCAAAATTATGACATTTTAAGCTTATAAGATCCGTCGCTCATGACGTTCAAAAGTTGCAGGACAATGCCAATTTAAGCTTATCAATCGGACACTGTAATTACTGGATGTTATAAAGTCTGGATGCCGTGACTTTGGACGTTGCCAGCTTAGATGATATGCTAAGTGCTAAGAACATTCCAAAACAGACATGGAGTTACGGGTCGAAACGTTGCGTGATCAAATGTGCCGATAGCACGAATGCCATGACACCAGTTGAGGATCTGATGGGAACGCTGGTCTGAACAATCATTCCATCTATATGAACATCTCTCCACAAACGTTCGGTAGAATCACTTTCATTGAACAGAAAATGCAAACGCTATCTTTTCAACATGGGTACCACCCCTGCATTGGACATGAAGAAAAGATGGAAAATGCTAAACAGCTCCAGCACCTTGGTTCAAGTCATTTGGGAACAGCGAACGACTATGAAGTGCTTACACTTCAGCATTGGCATCTGGGCCCCGCATAAGGCTGAATATTTATACAGCTTACCTGCAAAATTTCAAACTTCCTGTTTTTTAAGATTTGATCAGAACCCTTTGAATGGATGGATTTCCGGGATCAGAGCTCACGCTAAGCAGTGCTTGTTGTGCGAGCCCCGACCCCCACCATCCGATCGCGCAATTCCAGGCAACGGCAGAATTTAGTGGCGAAAGCTTTACGCGCCGCAATGCTCGGCACGGTCCGTCCTGCCCTCTGACGTCAACTGACCTTTAGGCGCGACCGCTGCCACCGACCGCAGGCCATACCTGTCAAGGGGCAAATAGCGAGCGTCCTAAAGCGACTCGAACCCACCCCCGCCACGGGTGGGTGCATCGGAAGGCAGGCGCTCTAACCAACTGAGCCACCGGGACGGACAAGCTGTCATTGTTATCGTTAAGCCATTAGTAAATTATTCAACAGGTCTTCGCCGTTAGGCATATATCGAACTTCCAACTTTGTGTTAACTCAAATGTTGACAGATATTCAACAAACAAGCGATCACGTTCTGACCGACAACAAACTACCGGCGCATCAGTTTTTGCCATGCATGTCCAAATTATTTGGAAGGCAATGGTATTCAAACGCATCTATCTTCGCCTCAAACACTAACAACTGGCTCACTGAACGACAGAGAGGATGTCGACCCCATCACAGCCACACCCATACAGCTAATGTACCTCTCACAGAACTTTCAATAAGCGTGACTCAAACCCTACACAACATAGATACCATGCAAAGATCACTGCAGCAAGATTTTTTAAACGAAACTTTTGGCTATGTTAGGGAGGGGCCATCACATTTAATACAGACAAAAAGATACAGCAAACGTTCACGAACAGAACCGCACCAAACACGCCTAAGCTTCTGTTTGGAGGCAAGCCCATCCCCATAAACGATAGCCACAAACATTTGGAAATGCATCTTTGTAAAGATTTACACTTTCACGACCACATAATGAAGTGACAAAACATGGAAATCGAGCCATCAGCCCACCTATGTCACATCTATACACTGTCCTATCAATCGTGCCGCTAGCTAGCAACATCTTTTTAAAATTCCATCAAACAAATACACAATGTAATTTTGCTTCACTCTTCTCACATGATAAACACAGCGCACTAGTACACAGATCCTAGCTGGGTGGCGAAGGAGCTGTGCGGTGGTTAATGGTTTACAAGATTGCTTGCTGACCTCAGGCCGTTTCGGAACACATGTGGCTTGCATGGGCTAGCTGCGCGGGGCCCCCGCTGGGGTAGCGAGATCCAAAATAAAAATTGAGCCACACACGTAGCGATGGTTACACGACCTCTACGTTTAACTTGCATACGCAGAGAGTATGCGTCCTTTCGGTGGAGATAGTTTAATTGATTTTATTAAGCTCGAGACTACCAAAACTTAACGTTTTTGGGGTTATAAGAATGCAGGCAAACGCAATGTTTCGTACGCTGCCTGTCGAAAATGCAAACTTTTCATGATGGATGAATGGACGTCGTTCGATATCGTTTTCTGGACATTGACATGTGCACTGCAGGAATTGTGCCTAGTAGTAAAAGTACTGTCAATATTGTTGTCTGGAACGAACTGAATACTCTTATTAAGAAATGTCTTCCGATCTGATTTGACACTGGCCGATGGTGCGAATTCGATCCATCCTTAACGCAACATGCT